CACACACACACACACACGCACACTCACCCATCTCTCCCCTTGTCTCCTTTCGCCCCGGCGGCGTCTGTCAGAACGTCGTTGCAGTTGTCCCCCAACTCATTAGCGGACGACTCCTCCTCCACAACATGGCCGTCCTCGTCCACAATCTTATTGACGTACGCGTCAAACGCCGCGAACTTGTCGCTGGAGGCGCTGTTGCCCAGACCGAATGGGTCCGTAGCCAGACTGTTGGAGGCCAACACTTCGGTCTCCAAACCTCGGATGTAGTCTTCCATTGGAGAAGTGGAGAAGGGCCTAGGGGTGACTCCGTGGTGACCTGGAGGGGCATGGCATTCGCTGCTGCAGTTGAGGAGATGTGGAGAGGTTTAAAGGGCTCGAGGGTGTGGCTACAACAATAACCCGGAGTCCAAGGGAATGGTATGATGGGGTCATTTTTTGGGGCCGTCCAGAAGACCGCCTGAACAGCTGAGGTCGTTGATCTTTCGGGACACTGGCAATGAGAAGGAAAAAAAAACTGATTTAACATACATTTACACTCCTATTAATATAATTCAAGCAGGCGTCAGTGACAAAACAAACTATTTAAAAAAAGTTTTAGTCAACATTTTACGGTACTTGCAGCACATTAAGGTTATCATAAAGTGCCGAAGATTAGACAAAGAGACATTACAATACCCATTATTATATAAGCGTGCGAATCTTCACCTACCACCATTCCATCTCCGGCAGAGGGTGGTTGGAGAGAGTTCTGGTGTGGCTTAATGCTCCTTCTTTCCTTACAAACATCTATCGTCCGTATCTCTCCTCTTCATTTTTGTGTATATTACTCTCTTGCAACACCTCTAATATTCGGCATTTATACGACCCTATTGTGTTGCAACTGCCGTAAAGCACATACTAAAACAAAAAACAACCCCCCCCCCCCCGGAGCCAATCTTTCTTCCAGAAGATACCTCCCATCCAACCACCCTCCACCCTTTTACCCCCAACCAACCTATCTATCTCAGTGTACAAACTCTCTGACCTTTCAGCCTCTGCAAAGAATCGATGAATTGGCAAACTTTCCTTCCTTCCACGAGACCTCCCCAACAAGACCCTTCCCAGACACTTTCAGGACATCTTTCACACCCCCAACCGAGTGCAAATTCATGTAGACAGCCCGCCTAATAGACCGTGCAAAAACCAAACCAAACCAAACTACTTAAACTACTACGGTAGCCAAAGTTTTGACGGTTGTGTTCGCAAGAGATGGAAAACGTCGACAGACGCGTTGATGGCTAATAATAACCGTTGTGTGTGTCTGTGTGTGTATGTGTGCGTGTGTGTGTGTGTGTGTGTGTGTGTGCGTGCGTGCGTGTGCGTGTGTGCGTGTGTGAGTGTGTGTGTGTGTGTT